CTCATGACATGCTTACCTGGAATTATGACAGGTCCTGGTCCCACTTGCAGGCCACCTGGATTGTCATTACTTTCTCCTAAAAAGAGTCAGCTAACAATGACAAAATTGACCAGTTTACCCGAACATCCTAAACATAACTGTAACACAACTGTAGATCGTACCGATGAATCTCATGACATGCTTACCTGGAATTATGACAGGTCCTGGTCCCACTTGCAGGCCACCTGGATTGTCATTACTTTCTCCTAAAAAGAGTCAGCTAACAATGACAAAATTGACCAGTTTACCCGAACATCCTAAACATAACTGTAACACAACTGTAGATCGTACCGATGAATCTCATGACATGCTTACCTGGAATTATGACAGGTCCTGGTCCCACTTGCAGGCCACCTGGATTGCCATTACTTTCTCCTAAAAAGAGTCAGCTAACAATGACAAAATTGACCAGTTTACCCGAACATCCTAAACATAACTGTAACACAACTGTAGATCGTACCGATGAATCTCATGACATGCTTACCTGGAATTATGACAGGTCCTGGTCCCACTTGCAGGCCACCTGGATTGCCATTACTTTCTCCTAAAAAGAGTCAGCTAACAATGACAAAATTGACCAGTTTACCCGAACATCCTAAACATAACTGTAACACAACTGTAGATCGTACCGATGAATCTCATGACATGCTTACCTTCTGGAATTATGACAGGTCCTGGTCCCACTTGCAGGCCACCTGGATTGCCATTACTTTCTCCTAAAAAGAGTCAGCTAACAATGACAAAATTGACCAGTTTACCCGAACATCCTAAACATAACTGTAACACAACTGTAGATCGTACCGATGAATCTCATGACATGCTTACCTGGAATTATGACAGGTCCTGGTCCCACTTGCAGGCCACCTGGATTGCCATTACTTTCTCCTAAAAAGAGTCAGCTAACAATGACAAAATTGACCAGTTTACCCGAACATCCTAAACATAACTGTAACACAACTGTAGATCGTACCGATGAATCTCATGACATGCTTACCTTCTGGAATTATGACAGGTCCTGGTCCCACTTGCAGGCCACCTGGATTGCCATTACTTTCTCCTAAAAAGAGTCAGCTAACAATGACAAAATTGACCAGTTTACCCGAACATCCTAAACATAACTGTAACACAACTGTAGATCGTACCGATGAATCTCATGACATGCTTACCTGGAATTATGACAGGTCCTGGTCCCACTTGCAGGCCACCTGGATTGCCATTACTTTCTCCTAAAAAGAGTCAGCTAACAATGACAAAATTGACCAGTTTACCCGAACATCCTAAACATAACTGTAACACAACTGTAGATCGTACCGATGAATCTCATGACATGCTTACCTGGAATTATGACAGGTCCTGGTCCCACTTGCAGGCCACCTGGATTGCCATTACTTTCTCCTAAAAAGAGTCAGCTAACAATGACAAAATTGACCAGTTTACCCGAACATCCTAAACATAACTGTAACACAACTGTAGATCGTACCGATGAATCTCATGACATGCTTACCTGGAATTATGACAGGTCCTGGTCCCACTTGCAGGCCACCTGGATTGCCATTACTTTCTCCTAAAAAGAGTCAGCTAACAATGACAAAATTGACCAGTTTACCCGAACATCCTAAACATAACTGTAACACAACTGTAGATCGTACCGATGAATCTCATGACATGCTTACCTTCTGGAATTATGACAGGTCCTGGTCCCACTTGCAGGCCACCTGGATTGCCATGACTTTCTCCTAAAAAGAGTCAGCTAACAATGACAAAATTGACCAGTTTACCCGAACATCCTAAATATAATTGCAACATAATTGTAGCTTGTACCGACAAATCTCGTGACATGCTTACCTTGTGGAACTACAACAGATTCTGGCCCACCCACTCGCAATTGACATTTTGTTCTTCCTGATGGCAGAAAGATACTGTATAATAAGCCACGTTATTTCACTATAGGGATGGACTTCTGCTAGCACTTCTCCATTATGCAGACCATCAAAAAACCTCTGCTTTTTGTTCTTAGTAAGCGCATTGTTTAAAGGCAAAGATCGGGATTAGTTGACCTTACCCACCCTTTCGGTCATGTCTGTACTTGGTTACGCACCCGTACAGATGTTCCCACGCTCAAAATCTCGAACGACGCGGTAATAAGGCCCAGGGCACGTACTATGCGCTATCGCCGCCTGGCCCCGCTACGACCGCCCACCTTGGGATGTGGTGCGTGGCTGGCATAACGTGTGAGAATCAGCTAGGTTGGTTGCCGTATCAACCGATAGAACCATCTTCAGAAAACTTCTTTATACAGTCGATATCCGAAAGTTGGGGTGGGTGTGTCACCGGAAGTGACGTGCACTTGATAGAAGTGCGTGGATAAGCTGTGCCAGCATGCTTTGCTGATAGCCAGCGATGTATGTTGGAAGCAGCTTATCCACATAGTTTCTATCAAGTGCACGTCACTTCCGGTGACACGCCCACTCCCAACTCACCGATATCGAGTATACGTGCCTCTTTCACAAGTCAGCCTCCTTCACTGCTAGTGGGAAAGAGGGTTTTGTTAACGGCCTTGTCGACGGTTTTTCTCAGTTTTTTCTCCACTGTCGTTCCACTTCGCATCTCTATACTCAGTTTCATCGCCATAATACCCCCTTATTGAGCCCGACTTTTGCCTTTAAATGTTCAGTGCATCTCGTGTTGATATCCCATACCTGTAGCTCCGAGCTGTTGTGGAATTACAGGTCCAACTCCATCCGCGGGATTCCATACAGGAAACGTGTACACAGCTTCGACAATAGCGATCACAACGGTGATCCTATTCATTCTTGAAGAAATCTTTTCTGACCTTGAAAGCTACCCTTGAAGTAAACACTTAGCGCTTCTGAAATGTTCTCTTCTGAAAAATGACAGAGCGATTGGATGAGATCTTTCTGCAACCATAGACAACTTGGGTGGAACGGCGTGGTAGAAGTCACTCGTTAATGGCTCTTTATCTAACGTAAAAGAAGGAAACGAGCATAGTTCGGGCAATGTTTCCACAGAGAAAAGGGAGACAATTGTAGATTTCTCTGCGTGGCTCGTATTTATGTATCTGATTCTCTGTTTAATTTTCATATATAAGCAGGTGTCCATAACAATAAAAACATTATAAGCGCTATAAAAACAAGAATTAAATTTTGACGGCTAAGTTGTAAAAAACATTGACGATATTGCGGACGCTTTCTCCGCCAATTTTATGGTTTTTCAAGGCTATTTGTTCAAGGCTATGTGGGGCTATTTGGAAGCTTCTAGCAATTTTTGCACTCAATTTTAAATACATATATCTCAGCTAATAGTAAGTCTCAGCCGCTCAGACTGCAAGGATTTCGGAGGCAGTCGGACTGAAAGTTTGTTTCAGCCTTATGTTAGGTTTCGCAGCATTTTTCCTCAATGAGGCTACTCTGATGTCTAAAAACGTGACAAGCGAGGTGTAATGAGTAAGGTGGTTCCAGCTTAGTTCCACAGCTCGGATGCTCAACTTGTGCAAGATTGCTTGTGCGTACAAGCCACCACCAGTTCGCTAGGACAAGTTGGTCCTTTCATTGTGATGAATGCTGTGTCCATGTGCTGAAGTTAGTAGGGTATTCTGACATTTTATAGAGCGCTGTTCTCCATGTCACAGATTCACCAGAGCTGAAAAAAACTGGGCGAAGAGTAGGCCACTGACACAAAAATCACCGTACCTCCTCAGTGAAGCAACAGTTTGCAAACATTTGTCGGTCAGTCAAATGATTCCAGAGCCTCGGACGTTTTTGCAAAAGTTCCGCTCGAGGTCGCCAGCCGCAATCGAGTAGAAAAATGGATCCTTTTCATCGCATAAAAGGAGGTGGAAGAGAGGCAGGCGACACTCCAAAACGGCAATTATTCACTTATATATTTTTGGACCGTCAAACTCCTCCTATAACAGTAGCGCTTAAGAGACTTCGGTGGAATACTTTTCGGACTGTAACTTCCTTTTTGCTGGATCAAATCAGCTCAAATTTCGACATCTTTTGAAGGAAGGGTCTTTCCGCTGAACCACCATATTAGTATCTAATGGGAGAAAGAATTGTGAATGAAAAGCTGTTTAACTAGAAATTTTCAAGTATGATCAAGTGCCATCTGAAAATCAGAATGTTGTAAAGAGCTTACAATTTAATATAACAGTCCAACACATGATGAAAACCATTAATCACATTCAATACTTTGTCACGTCCGATGGCGCTCAGGACACGTGTGCGAGTGGTCCCTTTGAAAAAAGCGCGCCTGCTGTCGAAACTCTCATTCACAGCAGAGGTCCGATGTTTTAGTTACTCTCTTACTAGAATGAGCTCAGAAGCGTGCAGTTGTTATACGTTTTGATACGCAACCCCTTCTAGAAACTATCTGATGCGTTCGCGTTCACCACTAGAATCCCATGCAGTGGTCCGGCATTATTCACAATCTATCAACACCGAGATTACGCCTTATTTTACTGGCGGAATGGCTATTGATAATTTGGATCCGAACGTTAATCGTGCGGACTCCACACATGCCTACTGCCATCGCCTTCAAACACCTTAGATTTACTTTCATTGCTGCAGATGACGTTTTAGCCTTGTGAAATCTCGTGTTCAGGTTTGTGTATCCCGTTCCATGGCCGGCCCCTCCACCGCCAGATAATTCACAGGATCCGCAGTAGGTGAGGGCGGACGTATACACTTTGGTCTTGGAAGGTGTTACGTATTCATCGTTGACACTTGTACGTGACTACTTCGCCTTCTAGCAATAGAGCGACCAAAAGCATCGCACCTTCACTGTGAAGGATGGTTTCGACAGCGTACTATGCTCTTAACAGAGGGACCAACTCGGCCACATGTCCTGTGCACTACCGGATCATTACGAGAAGGGGAAACCTTTCACGGAAATAGGAACCATGAATATGGACGAAGAGTTTGTCAGGTTTTAAGAAAAATGTAGGAAGTTGTCCCGGTAGAGAGTGCATTCATTGACTGGTTCCTTACTTAGGCCTTGTTAAGATTTCAGCGAACCCAGAAGATCATTAACAAAGTATTGGACCTGCCCAGTGTTATTCATCATGCGTAAGATTGTTTTGTTGAATTGTAAGCTTGCTAGAGTAATTTGAAACTTACTTGGAATTTGCTCATACTCGGAATTTCTAGTGAAATGGCTTTTTCATTCACAATTCCTTCTTCTATTCAATGCTGAAATGATGGTTCGGTGAAAAAGCCTTTCTTTCAAAACATATCAAAATTTGAAATGATTTGATCCAGCAGAAAGGAGGTACATATATACATACATGTACACAGTCGAAAATGAATTCCACCGAAACCTTTGAGCGCTTATCTAGAAATCAATCAATATTAATCGTTGTCAGCATTGGATATCCGGCTATCGCCCTTCAAGCTCATCATGAAGCGGCCAACAGAATCGTCCATTCGTCGCGGCGTCGCGACGCGAAAAATTTCCAATAGGCGCGGAATTTTTGAATTTGGCGATCCGAGCTGTGCATTTTTACAGTGCACGATGATCTATGTGCACGATATCGAATTCCAACTTATTTGATCTGACTCTTTCGCAGAAATTGTGGCATTAAAGTACTTTGTTTTCAAAGTTCATTCTCGCAATTACTGAAAAATGCGGAAAGAAAAAGATGTGATGGAACTGAAATATTCGCGCATTGATTGGAGTTGAATGTCAGGGACGGGCTTGATTTGCGTCCCCTTCACTACAAAGCCCAGTGACGCACGCAGGAACTCATTCACTACAGTGGCAGTGTCGCGGCCACGTAGCGCGGAGATCCAAACGATTCTATTGGCATACACCTTTTCACCACACTTTTGTCACAATTCTGAGCCAAATACGTTTTTGGCATCATGATCTACTCCCGCCCTTACCTGACCTAATTTAAGCTGGGAATGAAAATCACGCGAAACTGCTCTTCGAGCATGCCGCATTAAGGGCTTTCAAAAAGTGAGACAAATGCTTATGAACAAATATGCTCAAAACAAAGAAATGCGCTTCGGAATTAAAAAGGCAGAATTTGTTTTTATTTATATAAAGTAAAGCATCCAAAGTGAAGTCTTAAAAAAACAATTGAATTTTCTAAAGGCACGCTTTCGAACTACGTCAGTGGAGTGTTCCTCGGGTATGACAAAGCGGTTTCATAAGGTTGCAATGAGCCGTTGCTTAGAAGGATGTGACAAGGGCGCTAGAGCCTTGCTGATGCCCTGATTAGGGGAGTTCGCTACCTCCAGCCATGCAGCAGTGATCCATCTGTATCCTGTCCTAGGGCGTGCTCTTCTGCGGGTTCTCTCGCCTCGGTGAGTATGTCTTCTCAGCCTACCACAACCGGCCTTTCAGAAATTGGCCTTGCGCTCTTGAAACATTCTTCGGTATTGAGCGCTATACACAAATTTTCCTGGTTGCTTCCCATCAAAAGTCCCAATAGTTTTCAAAGCCGCATTCCGGCATTCCGCCCCCATTTATGCAGATTAATTCTTTCCGTGGGATTCTGTGCGTGTCCACATATTTATGTCTTCAATTCTAAATCCTAATTTCTCATAAAAACCGCCATAACAAGGAAATCATTAGAACAAGGAAAGCATAGCATTTATTTCCATTTCGAAGCCTCTATGTGGCTCGAAAACGGCACAACAAAAAAAAGATCTTTATTTCTGGGAATTCCGGCGCACGCGGTTTCTTCCCCACTCGCAACTGTAGGTTCACCACACAGATTCTTTCAATTCCGAGTTTAATATTTTCACCAATTTGATGTAGTAGAAGGCACTTAAATGGCGGGATGACAACAGATCATAAAAGAGAAGGCGATCAGATTCTGAAGCGTTTGTAGTGTGTAAATACCGTCTTCTAGTGCTTTTTCTAATATTGTATAACACAGAGAGGCACCAAAATTTTATTTCAAAAGAATTCCAAAAGTTCACAAAATTCAAAAATTCCAAAAATTCAAAAGTTCCAAAAAGCAAGAAAGTTTGAAAAAGAATTCCTTTGAAATCTTCCGCGATATTTCGGTGTATAACACCTTCTTCAGGCCTGAAATACATTGATTACAGTTGGTATAATTTGGTGGTTTCCTACACCTATATTGATACCCACATGTGTTTGCCACAACCAATTATAAAGATGCCCTCACGGAAGCCGCGCCGTTGGAGTGAAAGAATTGTCTTACCGCTCACCCCTGCTCAAATAGTAGCGGACGTGATGTGGCGGTCACTGCATGTGATACGAAAAATTGTGATACGACAAAAAAAATTGAATTTGACATCAGACACGTACAGTACTCGCCGCTTGAAATCAAAAATCCACGCGAATCCCCCGCAATTTCGCGTTATTTTCGTGAATTCGTTATAACTCGGTTTGAAATTAAGTAGTTTTCCAAAGTCTAAAGACACTGTTGAATACAGCTCTTCAAGCTCTATTAGAACTTGCTTTCAATTCAAAAAAAATCTAATACAGGATTGCGCCATGCACTCGATTTTTACCTCGGGAAGCAACTGATTAGATGTGGTGCGTACATAATCACATGAGCGAAGCATGACCGTTATATAGGAAGATGGGCTTTAAGACCTGCCCCAGAATATGCCACGTACTCGACTGGGTCTACTACATTGCGGAGATTAATTGAATTTTTTTGAGTTTCCAGGATTTCTATTTCATTTCAGAGCCCTGAACGATGAGAAGGTGTGGTCTCTGAGCCCAAAATTTCCTTCCCTCGCGTTCACATGCAAATCGCAGATCATATTTCAGTGGAACTAGTTGGCCTATTTTGTAACATGTCCCAAGTT